CTTCCTCCTCCTCCTTCTTCTTCTTCTTTCTCCTCCTCCTGCTCCTCCTTCTTCCTCCTCCTGTTTTTTCTTCCTTCTCCTCCTCCTCCTCCTTCCACCACCTCCTACTCCTCCTCCTTCTTCTTCTTCATCCTCCTCCACCTCCTCCTGCTCCTCCTTCCTCGTCCTCCTCCCTCCTCCTTCTCCTCCTCCTCCTCCTTCGCCTTCTTCTTCCATTTATAGAAATAGAGACCTTTAGGAGAGAAGCAGTCAGTTGGGGGGATGGACTGTTTCAGATGTGCTGAGGGATATCATAGGTGGGCTCTCCTGACCTCTGTTCTGTGCTCTTTCAGATGGTCCATCCTACACTAGAGTCTAGAAAGAAAAAAAAAAAAAAAGACAAACTACATTGCCGACACTCGCCTCCAACTCAGAATCAAATGTGGTTTGGGCCCATCAATCAGCATCACTCACAGGAATCCTGAATTCAGATTCAAGTCCACAGAGGAAGAAGCACGCGAGTCTGAAGCTGCCATTCTGCTGATACAAGTTAGTGAACAACTCACTCTGGATCCGACCATTCTGGCCACAGCTGCCCACTGCTGCCCCAGGGCTCAGCCTTGGTCTGGGACATGAGAGTTTTCATTCTCGGCTTCCCACTTGTGGCAGAAAGCACTTCCCCTTAGTTGATCCTGCAGTATTGTGGCAGGTTCCGTTCCTGGAGACCTAGCCCGCAGCCTTCTTCAGCCCTTCAGCAGTTTTTGAGCATGTCCACCCTACAGGAGTCCCTGCACACTACAGTGTCTAGGCAGACGGATCCTGCTACCTGCAACTGCACCTTGGCCAATGTGGAAGTCATGAGCTGGTGGAACCTGCAGGACTTCCAGGTACAGACACATGGGTGACACTCAGATAATGTGAGTCTGGGATTTAAGAGCAAGGGCTGGACTGTCCTTTGTGTGCTGTGAACTTACAGATTATAAAGGGTGAGGTCATCCCGGGAGACATTGCCAAGAAAGGATGCGAAGGGTAGGAGGAAAGGAGGGCCTGGGACAGAAGCTTCAGAAACAGCGGTTTTTAAGAGATGGTCAGAACAAGCAAGCTGGCCGTGGGCAGGAGATGGCCAGAAGGTACCTGGCAAAAACAGAGGGTGCGGGTGTCACAGAAGCAGCGGTGGAAAGGAGTTCCGTGGGATGGGACGCCAAGCAGACGTTTCCAGGAGGCCAGGCTAGCTGAGCGGGACGTGTCAAGGACTCCAGCTTTGGTGACCGTGGGAAGAGCAATTTGGGTTGCAGTGAAGACAACAGAGTTCAGAAAAGAAGGGTCCAGAGTGAGGATGAGAAACAGAGACCGCGGAGGGGTGGGGGTAGGGCGCTGCCTTGAAAAGAATTTTGCCCATCCCTGGAGGTGATGCGGGATCAAAGGAGGGGAGTTTTATATTTTAAATCCTGAGTCAAGCTAAGTCACTCTCCACAATGAGGCATTAATGAGGTGGCGTGTGGGAGAAGAAGCCCGCATTTGAATGGGGGTGAAGTTAGGAGAGGGTCAGAGGGCAGATGAGGGGCAAGAGATGCTTATGTACTTTAATTATTGTGACATGCAGGTGTGTGGAATCCAAATGCAGGAAATGGAGAACAGACAGCTCTTCCCCTGTCCCAGGAGGTAAGATGAGGCGGAGAGAGCAGATGTATCAGGGATTAGCTGCTGTGGGCCGGGCTTTGGGGACCCGTGGGCCCATGCTATTTACCTCTGTGCAGTAACGAAGGTCTCTTTCTGGGTTTGTGGAGGCTGAGGGTCAGAGATTTCAGGAAAGGGGCAATGGTCTTACTGGTCCCCCCAAGCTCACTAGACTGCCACGTTGGAGGCTTGTTGTGGGTTCTGGACCAGGAACTGACCACAGGACCAATCTGTGCAATTGGGCGATTGTGCCTAGCAGGACTCGGACACCTGTTCATAGGCAGGGAACAGGTGGTTGGCTCTGGTCACCCAGAACAGGGGGTGTGTTCACCTTGCCATGGTTTAAGGAAAATGAGCAAAGGCAATGGATCAGAGACCAAGACAGAGGTTCTCAAAGGCACAGGGAGCAGGCACCCTGCCACAGTGTCTGAAAGCAGGGGGCTGTTTGGGGGTCATCACACGATGGGGAACAGTATTGAAATTTTGTGGGCAGGAGACAGTATGTGGAGAGGTAACTCAGGAAAAGTAACTGTCCCCTCAAAATTGCCAGGTGCAGCCACTGATAAATGATGCAAGTGAGAGACCAGGGACTGTACCTGGGCCAGGTAGAGAGGAAGGGGAAGGAGGCAGGTCGGGTCCAGGAACAGGAAGACCTGAGCGGGCGAAGGTCAGACTGGACTGGGACAGGCTGAGCAGGACTGGAGGCTGTGGCCAGACAGTGGCTGAATCCTCGATTGCAGAGACGGGCTGTTCCCAGGGATGTGGCATAAAGAGGGCTCCTGAGTAAGAGTCCTCGGAGAAGCCAACGTCCAGATGATGCTGATGTGCGGGAGATCGGCTGGGGTGCCACCGGGAGGAAGAAAGAGCCGCAGGAGCAGGTGGGGTGGCCTTCGGGTTGGACTTTGGGGCAGAGGGCAGGAAGGAGACGCTTTGGGAGTAGTCCTAGGCTGACGGGAGAGCCCAGGGCAAAGACTGCCCACCAGAGGAGTCCCCATCAGGGCAAGGATGGCCAGGTTCTGGACCCGGCAGCTCAGCCTCGGCCTTGCCATGGACCTCAGCTGATCTGAAGGGGCAGCCTATGGAGGCCACTGCCAGCCTCTCTCCATGCAGTGGGTCATCTCAAAGGCAGAGCTGAGCAGCACACGTCCAGGGCCACCACACAGGGTGGCTGACATGTCCCAAGAAAGCAGGGATATTTTTTTCTTTTTCTAATATTTTTTCCCTAAATCCTTGGTACAGTCAAATTGCCATCCCAAAGTTCATCAAATGAACTAATGAATAAATATCAAAAACCAAAGCGACAGAACATAGAGGTTAAGCCTATCTGAAGGGCCCCAACCCAGCTCCACGGCTTAGCAGGTCATCTTAGGAAAATCAATATTAGATGGGGTTGATACATTGCTTCTGTCTTGTGGGTCTTCATGAGGATTAAAAGAGACACTTTAGCTGGGCACAGTGGGGCACACCTGTAATCCCAATCATTTGAAAAGCTGAGGCAGGAGGATCACAAGTTCAAAGCCAGCCTCAGCAACTTAGCGAGGCGCTAAGCAACTTAAATCCTGTCTCTAAATAAAATATAACAAGGGCTGGGGATGTTGCTCAGTGGTTAAGCACCCTGGGTTCAATTCCTGGGACAAAAAAACAAAAGAGAGAGAGAGAGAGAGACTTCACAGTGTCTTCCAATGGTACCTAGTAAATGCTAACCCCACTGGATAATCCCTTCTATCCCTTCCCATTGTACTCCATTCTTGTAGCCACCAAGAGAATGTGTTCATATTTGGACTCTGAGTTCTGTCACTTTCCATATTAGACTTGCTGTTCCTAGAAAGTGATGAGTTTAGGTTCTCTTGCTTTGTATGTCTCGTCCGTCCCTAGTGTGAGGTTCTAAATACAGTCGTTACTGACATCATCCAGCAGCTGGATGTCCCCAATCCCACATAAGTAGCACCCTAGACCCGTGTCTTCCAGGCCAGGAAGAGGCGGCAGCTCCTCTTCTTTATGAACGTAGCCCGTGCTTGCCTGGGCCTCTCCAGAGAGAATGTGTTTGTACATTAGGCTGGTAATTAAAGGCTCCCAATAAACCGAGTCTCATTATTCAGCTTAAGGAGCCGCCAAGACAGTGTCTGGCACAATGTCAAGTGTCTGCTAGAGCAAAGCTGAGTCCCGAGTTGCCCATCCCCGGGGATGGCACTGATGGGGCCTCTGCGCTCTCCTGTGCCACGCTCTTGTTTACATGGCACTGGAGGGACACAAGCAGGTACTCAGACTTCTCAGGTGGCACTGTTCTCATTTCCAAACATTTCAATAGGACTTTAAGAAAAGGCCATGTGTCGATTGTCTGATCCAGTGAACGTTGCAATGTTCATGGTCCCAAACCTCAGGCAGGTGCCATCTGTCGCCGGCCACGAGGAAAACTGTTGCTGGTCCTTCTTACTAGAATGTAAGAAGGTGTTTGAATCCAAGTTCAGACAAGGGCAGCTCACTTTGGTGGGAAGCTTGCTTTGGTTCCTTTGGCACAAAATAGAGACTGTGGTTCAGACTTTACAAATATCTGTCCTTCCTATTAGTCACTTTCACTAGGGCTGGGGAGGCTACTCAGCTCTGTGAAATGCAAAGCACTTTCCTGGTATCATCTCACCTCCTCTTTACTGTCAGGTGTTATTTCTTATCCAGATTGGGGATCATATCAAAACTAAAAGCAGTTGTCACCACAGTCACAGTGGTTGACTTTTATCGATGACTTTCTTTGTACCAGGTGCTGTTTTAAGTGCGTTGCAAGAAGCAGGATCAGTGGAAACCAAAAGAACAAAGGAGACGTTCAGTTTGCTTTGCACATACTGCATTTTACGCGCTTGCTGGGGGAACTCGGGGTGGCACAGTTTTGCACGGATCCTGCTAGGAAAGACCTTGCAGCTACAACTAATTTCAATTTTCCCCGTGATTCTTACCACGGCTTACCAGGCTCTGTGATTTTTCTCCTTCTCTGAATTATTCTGGAGAAGCCGAATCACTATAATTAATCGTCACACGGCACTAATGGGGCATGACTATGTACTGGGCTTTGTTGTGAATGATTTCTAGAGGTTCCCTCATTTAATCCTCTTGACAACCCATGACATGGGTGGAATTATTATTCCTGTTCTCAGATTAGAAAACAGAAGCACACATAAATTAAGCAGTGTGTCCAAGGTCACAGCGCTGGTAAGCACTGGGCTGAAACTGACCCAGGTGGTCTGGCTCCATGGTCCATGTCCTTGGTCCTCTGATGGGACATGATAGTCCTTATGTCAAGTTTGGACCCAACTTGAGAAAGATGGGATTGGCAAACCAACCTGAAAACGCTTTGCTCTGGATAAAACAATAAAGGCTCAAAAGAGGCCAACTGACTTCTCAAGGCAGCCGAATCTCAATCTCCAATGTCCAGGTTCACTGCTGTTTCCACTACACCATGTTGTCACTGCAAATTCAGCATGAAGAAACCCGAGTACCAAAGCATGTCACAAGAGGCAGGTGTCAAGTTTCAATTAAACTTTGGAGGGTTGTGTAACAACTAATTAAAATTCGTTTTTCATTTTCCTCCAAAGAAATGCTTACTCCTCTGATCCAGAGGGGAAGAAACTACCAGAAGCCCTCATTTGCTTGGCTCTCCTGACCACCAATGGGCCAACTGTCCTTTGCACCTTTGTAGATTAAACTCCCAGGCAAAGTCCTCTTTCCCAGCTCTGCTCTGTAGGTGCTGGCTGCTTGCACCTTGGCTGCCCCATATTCCCGTTGACCTGGGTTTCCTGGGGGAGCTGACTTGGGCTATGTCTAGCTCATCTGGACAGTGCAGCGGAACACATTGTTACACCCGTAGCACACAGGACACCTAGGGACTGTCCTACTTGTTTTGTTTTTAATAATTTTTTTAGTTGTAAGTCGACACAATGCCTTTATTTTTATTTATTTATTTTTATGTGTTGCTGAGGATCGAACCCAGTGCCTCACCCTTGCTAGGCAAGCGCTCTACCACTGAGCCATAACCCCAGCCCCAAGGAATGTCCTACTTGGAGGAAAAGTTGCTCAGAATGAGTCCTCCTAGTTTGCCCCCGTGGAAACAAAAGAAGAACATTTCTGAAATCATCCCTAAAAGCCAATCACCCGCCATCTGTGGGCTACATACTTTGTCTTGCCCACTTGACTATCTCTGTGACTTTGTTTTTAATTTAGATTTGAATTCGAAAGAGACAGCTTGTTATTTACTTTTAAAATCTGTGCGGAAGTGGAGAAGGGCGTTTTCTTGTAAGAGAGTGGCTTGCTCTGTGCCTGCACATCAGGCCACACATACTGCTGATGGCTTTTGGAGAGCTGAGCCAGGCCTCGGGAACCTGTTGGTGGCACACTCCACGCAGGCTGGACTCTCTCAGACAATCGACTGTGCTGGGGTTGCCAAAGACTCGGCATCTGTGAGACATGAAATGTCAAAATTATTTAAACAGTTCAGAGAAAATGACCTTGAAGTCACCTGTACCTGGAGCAAGCCATCTCCTCACCACTTAAAAACACCCAGGGCGCGCACACACACACACACACACACACACACACACACACACACACACACACAACCTATCACACACACAAAGGTTATCAGAGACCAGAAAGCACCAACATGCTATAGTATATACAACTTTGTTTACTCTAAAACCACTGACTGGCTCTCAGCTCTGGCTCTGCCTTACAACCCTTGAGGACAGGGGTTCGGACATTCTGGTACCAGCCCTCAGCTCCAGAGATTTTGATTCACTTGTTCTGGGGTGGGGCAGGAGAACCGACTGTCTCTATTTGCCTGCGTTTGAGGGGTTTGCAGGGAGTAGGACTTTTAGTGCTAAGATGAAGCTCGTCCTGGGAATAGGGTACCCAGGAGACAGGCTCTCTTTGTAAGCATCCTGGAGATTCAAGCCAGTTAAGTGCGAGAACCCTAAATGCTCTGGACTTTAACCCATGTGCTAAGGACAAGTAACTTAGGGCTTGAGAAAATATTAGATCTTCTGTAGAAGATCTAATAATAATAATAGTAAAGAAACTCTTTGTAAATGAGAAATTCCTGCCAAATAATCCCTTCTGCCTCTTTCAGGGTCCCAAGGGCACCCCCCCCCGGCTGAAATCCCTACCCTGAGCCTGTCTGTTGGAAAAGTGGGGAGGGAATCCTGACTTGATTATTTCATGATTAAAGAAGACTCTGGGGGAGATGTTTTGCGCAGGAGCCCAGCGTTCCAAACTGGGTCACTGCAGAGCTGAGCCTCCTCAGCCCAAGCTGCAGGAAATACCAAGCAGAGCAGATCCTCTTTCCTTCCCTTCCTGTTGGCATTCCAGTGACTTGTTTATATCCAACCAGGCTGGTTAACATGGCTTGTTTACATCCATCCATCTTCCCCCAAGTTCCTAAGCTGGGAACGAGAGAAGAAGAGCATGCACACCCAGAAATTTCTAGAGGCCCTGTGGCTCTCAACCCTTGGAAATCACCTGCAAACCTTTAAAATAGGCAGGTGCCCTGTTCCTCCCTCCTCCAATTCAGTCAGAATCTCTGCAAGTGGGAGCCAGGCAATGCCGTCTGGAGCTTTCCCAGGTGACTCATGCACAACAGGGCTGAGTGCCCCTGCTCTAGAGTACTGTTTCTCAAAGTGTTGTTCCCAAGCAGCCACATAGCATCACCTGGAAACTTAGATAAGAAAATTCTCAGGCCCCAGTGATCTGTGTTTTTTTTTTTGTTGTTTGTTTGTTTGTTTGTTTGTTTTAGCTATTGGTTTTTAACAACCCTTCTAACTGATTCTCATGCACCAATAAATTTGAAATCAGTCTCAAGGACAAGACTGTTAAAATATGTATTTTAACCTGCCAAGATGCTCAAACGGTTAGCCTTTGCCTCTCGTTTTCTTACCTGCAGCCAAATTCAGTTTCTGACTCTCTGTAAGAAAGTGAGTCCCTCTGGATGAGAAAAAAACACAAAAGACACTCTTGGGTCTCATCTCTTATTTCTGGTCTGGGAATCAACAAAGCACAGTAATATTATGAAGCAACGGAGGTAAATTCTTTGTTCTCCTATAATTAAGTTATCTACCTTAGTATTGTTTTCTAAGGTGAAGATTTCTAGTCTTTACCTAGTGTTTCTGCATCTACCTCTGCCAGGGGGAAAAAATATGCCCCAAAGAGGTTTAATTAGAGAGATACTGGGTTGGCATTCCCTAGGGAAATCTGTGCTATCACAGGAGGGGTGTTTATTGTGTAGAATGGAGGGTAGAGGACCTAAATTCTCTCCAATTAAACAGGGTTGAGGTAAACTTCAAGGTTGGAGAAGAAAGAAGACAGAGAAGAGGATGTTTGGCAGCAATTTGAGCTAAGAGAAGCGAAAACAAAGACAACTTGTTCTGTTCTCTGGGGAGTTATTTAAATTTTTAGGATCTGAGATCTTTTGGCCCAAGAGTTACTGAGTGTTTTTGTATCGAGGAAGTTCAAAGATTTGTTTTCTCCTGTCCTTTCCTCTGTTAGAGAAAACCCTTACACCAATTAAATTCAGTAGTTTATTTGAACAAAGTAAAACACAGACCATGGATGAACAGGGCAGATCCTAGAGCAGGTTCTGAAAACTCCAACCAAGTGTGGGATCAGAGAGCATTTACAGAAAGAAGGAGGCAAGGAAGAGAAAACTGGTCAATTGGCTCTGGCTTCCTCAACCAGTCAATTGGTTACAGCTTAACTGGCCAGTTGTTTAAGCTTAAGCAGGAAATTAGCTACACGGTCCCCTGCAGTTCACCAAAGCTTGTCACTATGATTAAACCCTATACTGGTTTGGTCTGTTGTGCCCAGCGAAGAAACGCAGCCCAAATCCAGGGTTGGCTACAAAATTTTATTAACACCTTCAATTTAAGCAATGACAGGAAAAGGCAGCTGACTTTGCATCGGTATATTTATAAGTCTCTTACAATGTGTGTAACCAAAATGGGATGTTTTTTCCAAGTCGAAATAAAAAAAAAATGTCAGGTGGCAAACTAAAATTCAGTCCCCGTTTTAATTTTCATAACAACACTGTGAGGTAAGTGTCTTTGATCCCAATTTCCAAATTAGAAATTGGAAATTTCCAAATAGCTTACTTATCTGTAAAAGGACAGGGCTAAGCTTCTAATCCAGGTCCGTCCAATCCTCAGGACTTGGTGCCGTGGCCCTCTTGATAAAGAGGGCAATGGGTCAGCCTCATAATCTGAAAGTCCTAAGGACTTTGTGGACTTACTTGACTCAGAAAGATAGTAACCGGAACTTAGACTGGACTCAGGGAGTCAGCCAGAAGTGCTTTGCCCAATAATATATAAAAAGTAGTCCAGAACTCACCCCCTACAGGGAGACATTGTCAGGGGCCATTCCTCGTGGTGATAACGTCTATCTCAGACTATCTTTAATCTAGATTCAGGCAGGTAGAATGAGATAGTGCAGGGTGCTAACTTTAAAAATGTTTGCATAGCAATCAGCTGTGGAAGATAAGAGTTCTCTCTCTAGGGCAGAGGGCAGATTTGTTTCCCAACTAGGATTTTAAAATATAAAAGTTAATCTCTTGCCCTGGGGCAAAGGTTGGGCACCTTTGCTAGGCCCTCCGCATAGGTTTGGGGGCTTCATCTTGAGCTTCCTCAGCTGTCACACAGACCCATCCACCAGGGCCTGCCTCCACATTGCCCATGCAGGACTTGGGGGCACTGGGAACCAGTGTGGCCTTGAGTAGAAATTCCTGACTCCAAGTTTCTGACCCAGGAGTCTTATGTCTTCTGCCAACATTTTCAGCATGCTCACTTGGTAGCTTGGAAATAGGGCCAGACCCCTTCCCATCCTTGAAATGCCAGCACATTGTGTCCTACACACGTCCTCGGCTCCCATGCAGCCAGCTGGGGATCCTGACATCCTCCCCTGGCTTGCCCCATGGCCCCTGCTGGGTAACTGAATCTGAGCAGGGTCTAGAGTCAGGCAGGTGGAATGAGATAGTGCAGGATGTTAACTTCAGGAAGACCAGAGGCTCGGTGTACCAAATTAAAACCCTGTGGTCATCAGATCCCTGAAATGTCATTTTTTTTTTTTTATGTGGGTCTTCTCCTCTCAGTATGCACAGACTGAAATGAATTTTCAAATTCCCTCAGCCCTCACCCACAGCCCCAATCCCCGTCCAGGGTCTAGGTGAAACATTTTTCAGTTTACCAATCACTCTTCCTTAAACAGATGATCTGACTGTTGTTCGTTAAGCCTATTTCTGAATATATTCCATTGTACCAAGTCCTTTAAAGAAATTATCTGGATTTTGAACAGGTAGTATGTGCGTTCAAGCACAAAATACAAAAGCTCTGAGGACATTTCCTTCCCATTCTGACTCAAGTTCACCCCCACCCATCTCTCCTCTGCTGGGCCGACTCTTGAATAAAATTAGGGAAAAGTTTATCATTCCATTGGCAGATCCTTTGGTTCCTTGGGTCCTCATTCATATCGGTTAAAGGTCAAAGAGAAACAGAACCAGTGGAGTACTGTAGACTGAGGAATTCATTCCAGGGATTTGGCTTGTGGCCCCTGTGGGCATCTGGTGAGTCTGAAGGGCAAGATCAAGGTGATGAGATGGAGG